CTTGTATTTTAGGACATTACTACTTAATTTCAGGTGAGATTAAACTATATTTGTTTTGAAAAGGAGTCAAATTACCCGAGAAAAACGTTCACCTGTAAACTCAAGTAGTTCGCACGTGGGCTGCTCTTGTCATGCCCGAGCATGTCCGGACGTATTCCATGAAACGAGGTGATCGTTTAAAATTGGCCCTGTAAAGTAAATTTTCGTGTTCTAAATAACTTCAATTGATTTTTATCAAAGTAAATCTTCTGCGGAGTCTCCACAGACTCGGGATAAAGTCTTTTTTTTGGGACATAATACCCAAGATCGTAGAAACATACAATCGTTCGTCTCACGATGTATTCGCTCCTTTAGTCTTCTGATAGTAATGAGGTCGTTATCTTGAGAAAAACGTTGAGTGCCTGCTTTTTATAAACTCTATTCAGCCTTCCTTTGAAATAAGCCCTCCACCCCTTTCCCTAATCGAAAAAGAATGTAAATCCATAATATTATATTACAGTCATAGTGCTACGAAAATAGTTATATTCTCTTATTAGCACACATTTAATCTCTTTCCCATGGAAGAAATGGGAAATGTATGTTATACGGCGCTGTGTGATTCCGATTGTGACCCTGAATTGGCTCTGGTTAGTCCCCACTCCAGCCACCCTCTTTAGTAAGCCCCCGACTAGAGCACCTAGGAATTAGCCTTGAACATTAGAGCGGTTATGAAATAATTTTACCTCGTCACGAAGAACAACCGCAGCTGATCTTCGCACAGCCAGCTCTCTATCCGTTTCGTTTCAATCAATTTCATGTTTTACAGCCTCCTTGCACACAATTAAAAAACTTCCCAGCAATGTTAATCCACATTTAGATGTAATTTCCGAAATAATGACTCATTTACATTTGAATGTGACCTGTGCGATGCGGGTTATGTTGCTTTCACACGCCGCCATCTGCACCGTGTTCAAGAACACAAAAATTCTTAGTACTCCTCTTCAATTGGCAAGCATTTTTGCGATAAGCAATCTCTGGTTCCAAAGAATTTTAAAATTCACTTTAGCGTTCTAAAAAAGTGCGCGAACAAATTTGACTCTCTACTTTAAGAAATATTTTTATTGAAGAACTGAGACCAGCGCTCGCGTGTGTACAATCTTATTCAATTCGTGCAAAGCGTTTTGATTAGCTTGCAGATATTTTTTCTCTTTGTATGTTCTTATTGTCCATTTACACCTGTAAAACTTTGTTATACTTCTTACACGCCTATATATATGTATTTACTGTTTCATTCTCGTCAATCACTAGTATGGTCAAAGTATGATCAAAACATACGAGTTCGAATCCTGTCCGCAGTTATTGTGTTGTGCTCATGCACCAAACGCTTAGTCAATTTTCGTGTCTCTCCGGTCAGGAGAGTTTCCTTGCGATAACGTTAGCGTAAAAAAGGTAGACGATGCCACCTTCAATGGACTGGCGTCCCGTCTAGTAGAAGCCTGGTCCCTTTATTCTGCGACGGAAACCTGGATCTGCTCCTGTCGTTCGAGAAAATGGGCCGTAAAGACTCTTAGACCTGAATATTAGGTCATCATTATGCATAAGACCCCCTTTCAACAGAAACGGGAGACAATTACGTTACCGCACCTTTCAATGATACGCAAACTATGAGGGATCGGTCAGGTTTCGAGATGTCAACCTACTATTTCATTTCATGCTCTCATCAATCTCTATTGTAATGAAATTCATTAGGCGGAAATAAAGAAACAATTCGCAATCCACCAATCACAACGCAGGAACATTACCTTACCAGTGTATTTGTTTTATAGAGGGACTGGAAATTTAATGACGGCAGCTTTAGACGTATTTTCAGAATCATTAATTCGTACCACAGTGACAGATTAACTTTCATGAGATTTCTTTTAAGCCATAGATTGGGAAAGGAATGCGTGAGTGCTTTTTCTGCCTTCATTTGGAGCTATGTGCATTTAANAAACAAATGGCGGACAATTTGAATCATATTTCCGACGACGAAGAGTCAGAATGGCTGGCAAATATAGATCCAAGTTCATTAGATGAATCGAACGAAGAAAAACAGCTTGACGACCAGAAAATTTCTTCATTTAATGAAGAAAATAGAAACAGCAACACAACAACGCGCCAATTCCGTTCCGCTTCGCATACTTCTGTCACGCACTCCCATAAATAAATATCCGCGAAATTCGCCCGCAGAAACAACAGTTTGGCGTGTTGGATAATAAATAACTTATTATACGTTTTGTTGTGTAGTATCGCTGAGTATTTTTACTCGTTATTTGCATTTTGACTCGTCCTACGGGTTCGTCAAAATACGACACAACTCGTAAAAATACTCAGCGATACTACATAACAAAACGTCTAATAAGATATATATATTTAACATAAAAGGTACTTCTATGACTTGCAGATAGCAGATGTTTATCGAGGCGGGTCAATCGTATGAATAACTAAACTAAATTAACTTAATTTGATTATACTGGAAATAACAAAGAAATGAAGAAATAATACATAAAGAGAAGTTAAAAGGATACCCGAGTAAGGAAAAAGTAAAATGAAAGACGTTCATTTTTAAAGAGATAAAAACCTTGAGTTTCTTAGTGTAGTAACAATATTGTAGAACTGGTTCAATTTGTGTTTGAATGTAGCATTATCTCATCAGGCTCAATATAGACATCTTTAGTCTTTAGAGAAAAACTGTTTTGTTTCTTTTTGAAGGATCTCTTAGATAAATTTTGATTTTCATCAGGTATCTCCTTCCAGATTTTGACACCAAATCGCGAAAAGGACTTTCCTTGCATTTTAAGCTTAGAGCACTAAGCGTTGAAGTTTTGTGATGTTGACAAGCGAGTAGTATGGAAATGGATGTTTGACCTTCTCGTAAAAAGTTTCATGACGTTAGAAGGTGCACTGTCATCACGAACATCGAGCATTAGTTTGCATACAACATTATAATGTAAGAGGGTAATTGGTAGCTGGAGTTTTTCATTCGCAAATAAGGGGATAACGTGTTCTTTTCTATCAGTAAAGTAGATTGAGTGTAATACTCGCTTTTGGAGAACTACAACTTCCTTTAGATATTTTTTCTTGCATTTCCCATAAAAAAGAGTTTTATAAGTTAAATAAGGTAAAATTAAGGATTTATTAGATATTTGTGAGGAGAGACTGATAAAATAGTATCTCAGCTTGGCAATCATTCCTACGGTCTTACTAATTTTAGTGAAAACACGATGAAAGTTGTTTTTCCAGCAAGAAAGTTTTTTAATTTATTACAACACCTAAATGTTTTATGTAGCTCTTATGCTCTTTAATAACTCTTCTAGTTGTTTCATGAACAAATATACCTATTTGTGGAAGGTAATGRATCTTCTTTCTCGATAGTAAGAGAAGCACTATCAGAAGTTCTACGCGAAGCTAACTGTTGCATTCACAGGCCAAATATAATTTACACCTCTTCCGCAGAATTATGGATATTGGTTGCGAAGAAAGCATTTGTGAGGGGAGAAAGACAGAAACGAGTACGAAGAAAGGAGAGGCATTAAAAACATCTTACCATGAAAAGCAGCGGCACAGGTGTTTATATGCTTGTACTTACAATAGAGCATTTTGATTGGTTGATTTTAGTTATTGGCCCTCCGACTGCCCGAGTCGTGTAATAAAAACATCTTACCATGAAAAGCAGCGGCACAGGTGTTTATATGCTTGTACTTACAATAGAGCATTTTGATTGGTTGATTTTAGTTATNGCAAATTATCAGAAATTACTTTTTTTTTGGCCAGGCCAGCAATTCTCGATATTTACAGTCACGGCCTCTCAATGAGGACCAGAGTTGCACAACAGTACAGTTCCCTAAAGTCCTAAATATTTTTTAAAAAGGTTTTATCATGTCGAATTTATCTTCAAGGCATTTCTCCTTAAGTAAATATTCACAGAGACGCAAAGACGGATCTAGGGGAGGGGCTCAGGGGGCCGGGTCCCCCCTTATTTTTGGTAAAAAATAAACGCGGGGGGAAGAAAAGCCCGGCAGGTGCACAGACACACACAAAATTACCCCCTTCCCCCCCCCTAGCTTAAGGTCTGGACCCGCCACTGATGAAATCTACCGGTTCATAGTTCTGCCCAGCTTTGAGAAAACCTCTCTTGATGAAGCACTTTAAACTTTGATTCGTTCTTGTTTTGAGAGTGAAAAGGTCGTCAATGATTAGTTTTTTCATCTAAAAATTTTGTCTCATAGGATTACATGAAGACCAACTGCCGATTGATCACCTGCGGAATTGAACTTTGTCCAGTTCAAGGTTGAAACGCGACTATTCCTGCGATACTTTTGGGAGTAATTATACCCAATGGAGTCGCAGTGGATCATATGGAATCGTACCCAGTCCCAATCGTGACCAAAATGAGCCATTAATACAGCAGTCTGACTGCTTGATAAAGTTCGGATAAAACATCAATGTAGAGTGTCCGAAAAATTTCTTTGGAATTCAGTTATGATATTGACCTTCGTCGCATAATCGACCCACTGTCTCATCTGTCATATCGATATTTATAGCTATCGTTTTAAAAAACAATATGACCTATCATTCGATTGAGAGAAAAAAATTAATGTCACTTGTTGTCAAAATGCAAAATGCGCTACAGCATGCATGAAGGGGAAACATTCGGTAGGATTCCCGAGGAAGTCATCAACAAGCTCACTTCAAGCCGAAAAAAAGTAACGAAACGAAACTGCTTTTCATTCTCAGCGCAAACTTTACTATTCTAATGGGTTTTAGTTGGATTTAACTCTGGAAATGAAATGTTAACTTGCTTTTTAAACAGATTTTTGAATGGCTTGAAAAGTTCTTCCCTTGTGAGACTTTTTTTTCCTATTAATATGCTAATCTTATGCTCTTTAATAACTCTTCTACTTGTTT